AAAGAGCACTCAAAGGGGCACAGTCTGGGTCAAGGCAGACACCTTTAGGGCTGGGCACAATTGTATCAGACACGGTTGGCCACCTGAATCCAGGGGTGCTGCACCCACACATTCAACCAAGTGTCCTCCATAGGCTGTCTCAAATCCCTAGTTTAACAGTAGATGGTAATCCATCCTATATATTTCATTTACTTTGCTATAAGATACATGTACTCACCAGAAAGAGAAAGTGAGAAATCACCCCTGGGGGGGATGGACATGCCAAAGTCCCTTCATCTTCCTCTCTGGATTTTGGGCACACATGAATACATACCCAGTGTGATTTGCAAGCTGCTGGGTTCAAGCTTCAAACCACAGTTGGTATTGAGATCCAGCACCTTAACCTCCACACCACCTGCTGGTTCTAAACATTTGGTTTTAATAATCTTCTTGCTCAAAATACCTACCGTGGGGTACCAGCGAGTGGTGTGGTGGTTAAGGTGCTGGACACTCCCACATGGCCGGCTATGGTTCGAGTCCCAGATCTGGTGGCTTGCTTTCTCTTTCTCTCTCGGGTCAAATTACAGTAAATGAATTAATGAATTAAAAATAAATAATTCTTAAAAAAACTATTATGGCACTATAAGTTTACATTAACTGTATCTAAAAATTCTGAAGGTTCTAAATTTTCCTCAATGCCTTTCAACTTATTTATGGTAAATATTAAGCATCTATTGACAAACTAAAGTTTTCTGTTTAATTCTTCCAGAAGTTTAGAAGCCAGTGGTATGGTGCTAGGCGGCTAGATCCCACTGCAAACTGCACAGTCTGAGTCTGAACCCAGTGGCTTGAAAAATATCCTGGGCAGGGAACCAGCAGTTAGCGTAATGGCTGTCGCTGGACTCCCATGTAGTCAACTGCGGTTCGCGTCCTGGACCCCGTGGCTTAAAACTCACACCGGGCACGTGTGCGTGTGTGCCCAAGATCCCGAGAGGAGAATGGAGGAGAAGGGACTGCGGCATGACCATCCCCCCTGGGGGGTGATTTCTCGCTTTCCGTCTCTATGTCTCTCTCTGTCTGTCTGGTGAGTGCACGCGCCCTATAGCGAAAACCTCTCTTAAAAAAAAAAAGAAAAAAAGAAAAATATCCTGGGCATGTGTGTGTGCAGATGCCCAAAATGTCAAAAGTAGAGATGTGATTGTGGTATGGTCATCCCCCTGGGGGAGCTTTCTGTCTCTCTGGTAAGCGCACGTGCCCTACATCTTTTTTGAGAGAGATTTTTGCTATAAGGCACGTGTGCTCACTGTAGAGACAGAGGCGCAGAAAGCAAGAAATCACCCTCCAGGGGGGATGGCCATGCTGCAATCCTTTCTCCTCCATTCTCCTCTCGGGATTTTGGGCATACACGTACATACACACGCCCAGTATGAGTTTTAAGCGCCAGGTCCGAGACTTGAACCACACAATCAACTATGTGGTAGTCCAGTGACCTAACTATTATGCAATCTGCTGGTCCCTAGCAAAAATCTCTTTAAAAAAGAAAATTAAAAATCCAAGGTTGGGCCAGCAGATAGTATGGGGGTTAAGGTGCTAGATTCCACATGGCCAACTGTGCAGTTCAAATACCAGACCTGGAGGCTTGAAAATTATGTTGAGCACAAATGCGTGGGTGCCCCAAATCCTGAAGTGACTGGAAAAGAAACTGTGTATGGCCATCACTCCCAGAGGGTCATTTCTAACATCCACCCCCTGCCCTGGTAGTGTAATATGCCTTACAGCAAAAATTAAGGGGGGAAAAAAAGAGCCAGGGTTGCATTTTCAGACCAGATTGAATGTCAAGGTATTTCCTATAGTAATAACAAATCTTTTCCAGAAATTGCTGGGTAATCATACTAGGAGGTGAAATTTTTGTTTTCCGTTTTAAATATTGCCGAATGAACAGAAGATCCAATAGGTATCATTAAAGTAGAAGAGGTGCTGCATAACATTTTGGTCAATGACAGACAGCATTTACAACAGTGGTCCTGTGGGGAGCATGTAGCCCCCACCATTTGACCTCTGTGAGTGGAAGGCTACCCAATCCAAGTCTGGGTAAGGGCACTCTGTGATGTCTGCCTAATGACAGCATCACCTGACAACGCATTTCTCAGATGGTATCTCTGTTGTTAAGAGATGAATGACTATGTAACTATTCATGCCAGTTACCAAGATAGTATCTATGACTTTTCAAACAGAACTGCTGATTCAAGTGCTGTATTTCTAGCAATTTCTTGCTTATGGTATTCCTCCAGGAGATGCCAAGTCTATTTTAGATCTCACTTCTCCTGTTATTTTAGCAACATTTTTATCAAGTTTCTGTTTCAGATGACCAGAATCACTAATAGGAAAATACAACAGTCGACCAGTGAAAAGGTGTTTTTTAACTATGGAAGGCCAATAGTTAATTATCTCCTTTTTCATTAACTGGATAATTTATGAAAACAAGTAATACTTCTTACCTCTATCAAGAACTGTCAGAATACCAGAATAGGTAAGTGCTTCTACAATCAGTCAATGGCAGTTTAAATTGTATGTTTAAGACAGACATCATTTGACATGGGACTTTCTAAGCAACAAAGGAAGACTTTCATTAAAAACATAACCAGTCAGTAACAAAACTCTTTTCACGACTGTAGCAAGTTACTACTTTTTGGTTTTCTATTTAATTATTTAGCATAGCCCTCTTTTTGAACTGCAATTAGAACTGAATGAGAAACAAGCAAAAGAGAAGCTAAGATAGAAGCACAAGGGCTTGCTAGATACTCTAAATCTCTGATATATCAAATAGAAAACTTCCCAAGTATGAATTTTCATTCACATTTGCAAATGCATTCTTCAGTAAGTTCTAAACTTGTTACTTAAAAAAGTACGGTTATGTAGGTAATTTATTTTCATTCTTTTGAAAGAATTTTATCACATCTAAGATAACAAAAAGAACTTCTTAAAAAAATATTGTTTTAGTAGGTTATCTGATGGTCCTCTGGCCAGGTATTAGGAACCACCATTTGCAACTCACACTGGTATTCCAAAGGGAATAGAGAAATTAATTAATTAAAAAAAAAAAAAAAAGAAACATACAACTAAAACAATTTCTCTTACTCTTCACTTTTCTTTTTATTATTCAAAAGTCAATGTTATTTTTAAATCACCCATCCTCAATTTTGATTTAATGTACTTTCATTTCCCCAAGATATGAAATTTCAGAATCTCTTTGGAATACTAATTTATTTCCCGTTTCTAGGTTTAACAAAAACTGTTGAAGTTTTAAATTCCACTCTATTTCCCTGAATTCTCAAGACAGTTGCTGATGTAAATTTTAATATAAAATATTTAGTCACAAAATAGTATTGCTTTTGTATGCACATAGTTGTAAGATTACTTTGCTTCCGTCAATAAAAACTATACCATCTTTCATAAAACTCTAAACAAATTAAGAGCTGTGATGTAGAACAAAAATTACACATGGCAAAACAGGTACCAGCACAACGTTAGGTTATATTACATCAAAAAAAGTTTTAATGGTCCCAAATATATATACTCAACAACTAAGCATACACTAAGGGGAGGCAAAAAAAAAAAAAAATCAAAAACAAAATGAAACAAAAAAAAAAAATTATGACACAAATGACCACATCTAGAATTCCACTCAATCTTTAATCAAGTAGGGAAAAATCCCCACTTAAAAAAAAATCTGCAGTTTGAAGGGCAAAGGGAACAGATTAAAAAAGAGGAAACTTTATATTCGCCCCTCCCCACAGAGGTTTTCCAAACCTGTTGTAGCTTGACTAAAATGTTCAGAATGTATGATTTTAAAGGCAGGTCTCTTTATACAAAGAAACTGCTGGCATTCTTAACTAGTGAAGAATTATGGCAGAAAGGCCCATTCTTCTGAGTCTCAAACATGGTCCAAGAAAGCATATTCTGATTGTAGCAACTGACCAGTCAATCCAGAGTTCCACTTAAAAAAAACCCCTGCCCTGTTGGCTTTTTGTTTCCATTTCCTTCCCTGAGAAAAGGGCAATGTGTGGTCCAAGCTGGAGAGCTCAAAGGATTAAGTCTTCCCCCTAAATGTGTTGATATCCCCTCCTCCTGCTCCATTGAATTGGCACTTGATGAGCAGAAGTCAAGTGTGCGAGGCTGGTCTGTGCAGTCATTCACAAGAGACCACTGCACTTGTGGTGGAATCGTAGGGGAGGGGCAGAGAACCAGATTTTCAACAGGTACTGGCCACAGGCAGCTGCCATCATTTTGACTCAAATTTTGCTTTCTTTGACAATGGTAATGTGTCTTCCTTGTCTTCATCCTCATCATCATCTTCGTCATCATCAGGATAATCTACCAGACCCACGAGGCCTCCCTGTTTAGAAATAAGGATTATTTAAAACACAGAAAACAAAAAACTATATTTACAAGTACCTGTTTTATATTTGGAGAAAGAATACTGATCCTACTCCAACACATTAACTGGTTATTTCTGGGTGGCTGGACTACTAATTTTTATGTATTTCCTAATTTTCCAGAATTTTAAAAAAAGAATTAATTTTATTTAACTTTATTTTTACTTAACCAGAGGGGGACAGAGCAAGAGCGAGAGACAAAGTGAGAAAGCAAGCCAGCAGGTCCAGGACTCAAACTACAGTCAGCCATGTGGGAGTCCAATGCCCTTAACCACCACGCTACCTGCCAGACCCCAGAATATTTTTTTAATAATAAGGGGGAAAAAAAGTATGGAATATCAAAACAAAAAAATGTAAGAGAATGTAATCTTGCAAATAACTCAGCAGATAGAAACATTATTGAGTTTAAAAATGCTAAGACTTAACAGTGCCTAAATAATTCTGAAAAACAAAGTCTAGAGACCAGCAGATGACATAATGATTATGTTGCTGGACAGTAGTTTGCTTAAAACTCATGCCAGGCACATGTGCGTGGGTGCCCAAAATTCCAAGAGGAGAAGAGACTGCAGTGTGGCCATCCCCCTGAGAGGTGATTTCTTGCCTTTTGTCTGTCTCTCCAAAAAACGCACACACTTTATAGCAAAAAATCTAAAAACGTCTAGGGACCAGCAGGTGGAATGGTGGTTAAGATACTGGACTCCTGCATGGGTGACCGCAGTTCAAGTCTGGAACCAGGCGGGTTGAAACTCACACTGGGCATGAGTGCTCTAAATCCTGAGAGGAGAATGCAAAAGGATTGTATAACTGGGGTGGTGGTGGTGTATGCTTTCTTACTCCCCCACTTATTTCTCTCTCTTTGGCATATGAGTACATACGCCAAATTTTAAAAAAAATTACAAAAGCAAAATTTAAAAAGCAGATTTATTTAAAAAATACAATTATAGCCAAGAAAGCTTAAATTAGGGGAAAAGAAGGGCAAAATGGGAGTCCTAGGTGTCAAAAGTGTACCTTTGTAGTAATAGCTGCCGTCTGAGATGTATTTTTAGGGACAGATCCAGGAGAGCCTGGAGATCCTGGGGATCCAGGTGATCCTGGAGAACCAGGCAGATTTGTTGCAGATGACTGGCTGGTGAGGTTAGTTTTTGTTCCACTGGACAGGGAAAGCTTGAAACTTGGGCTCTGCCGTCCAGAAAGATTTGTTTTCAGAAGCACCTCCTTTTCCTCACTTTCTTTTACTAAAAACGAGAATATTGTCAATAGCTGTCACTGCAGATTCATCCTTTTTTAAAATTCCCCCGAATAAGGTGACACTAAAACACAATTAACTATATTTACTCCTCTGCTGAAGACTGAAGTTCGATTTATGAATAAAGCTTACAGAAATACTAAATGCCACTATCATGAATTTTACTACGTGGAAGGAACAAAAAGTCAGCATTATATTCGGTATTCCTATCCTTCTCGAAATAATACATTCTTTCTTGTCAACTCCAATTTAAGAAAATTTGGTCTGTACTTTCAAAGCAGAGCTATTAATCAAGCTACTCCTTATAAAGTAATAGTCTTTAAAAATCTGCCAACATATTCAAAGTAGATACTAATCATTTTGTGAAGAAACAGTACACGAAGAGTAAGAAAGCCTTCATTCCTTGACCATTTTTTCAACATACATTTCTTCCTTTCCATGAATTTACTTATTGGATCCATAATATCATCATCGTTTTTAGTTTTGTCAGAGGGAGACACTACAGCTTCTCCGTCTTCCATGTCATCTTCATCTGTGTTAAACCACATTTCTTCTTCATCTTCTAGTGTTCTGGCATCTCTTCGGTATCTATGATTCCTCAAAATGGAACGCATACTAGGAGTAACGAGAAGAAAGTAAAGTAAATACACTCAGTAAGGACGTTTTTTTGGATAGTCTTCAAGTACTGATCTAAAACAAAAAATAGTCTTTATAGGTTAATGGGGATAAACAGACTTAAAAACTGGTTTTAGGGCCAGCCAGTGGTGAGGTAGTTAAGGCGGCTAGATGTAACACGGCTGTGTGGTTTGAGTCCCAGACCTGGTGGCTTGGAAAACACACCAGGCATGTGTACACACATGCCCAAAATCTTGAGAATGGAGAAAGGACTGCAGTGTGGCCATCCCCCAAGGGGGTGATTTTTCACTTTCCCTCTCTGGCAAATACATGTGCCTTATGGCAAAAACCTTAAGAAAAGAAAGGATTTATTTAGGAAAGGCACACCCAAGCTAGGCCTATCCTGAGATGCATACCGTACTTCAGCTGTGAAACACTGATTTCCTTGACCAAAAACGAAGATTTTCTGGTGAGACTTCCCCCTCCAGACACATTTATAGTGGGTAGAGATAGCTCTGTGTTTCTTTCTCTCTATTTCTGTCTGTCTGTCTCTGTCTCACTGTGTCTCCTTGTGAATTTTAATTTTAATTTTTTTTTTTTAATTTCAAGGTAAAGTATTCTCTTAAATGGTGCCTTTCCTCACTTCATTTATGAAAGGCACAACCCGAGCCAGGCCTATCATGAGATGGATACAGTATTTTGGCTGTGAAATACTGGTTTTCATTTTTCCTTTTCAAAATTATAAACTTATGTTTTTTTTTTTTTTCTTTTTTTGGGGGAGAGGTTTTTGCTATAGGGCGTGTGTGCTCACCAGAAAGACACAGAGCCAGAGAGATGGAAAGCGAGAAATCACCCCCCAGTGGGAATGGCCATGCCACAATCCCTTCTCCTCCTTTCTCCTCTCAGGATCTTGGGTGGGCACGCATGCACACGCGCCCGGCCTGAGTTTAAGCCACCAGATCCGGGACTCGAACTGCAGTCGGCTACATGGGAGTCCAGTGACATAGCCATTATGCTAACTGCTGGTCCCACTTATGTTTTTTTAAATACTTTTTTCTTTTTCATTTTTTTTGGTCTTCTTTCCTCTTAATTCTTCCCTACCCCCCCTTTTTTGGAGAGGTTTTTGCTATAGGGCGCATGCGCTCGCCAGACAGACAGAGAGAGACATAGAGACAGAAAGCAAGAAATTACCCCCCAGGGGGGATGGTCACGCCTCAATCCCTTCTCCTCCATTCTCCTCTCGGGATCTTGGGCACGCACGCACACGCGCCCGGCGTGAGTTTTAAGCCACCGGGTCCGGGATGAGAACCGTGGTCGACTACGTGGGAGTCCAGTGACACAGCCATTACGCTAACTGCTGGTTCCCTTCCTTTTTTCTTTATCTTTATTCATTTTCTGATCAGCCTCTACGCACTAAGTGTTCTAGACAGGTCCAAGTGAACAGTTTCAAATCATCTGAAAATGATTAGAGTCAGAATATGACTCTCTTCACCTTGAATCTGTTGTGCAAAGAGTGAAAACGGAACAGAAAAAAGATTGCAGATAATCTCCTTCTGTTTGCCTCTGAACGCTCAGATTGAACTTTAAGGATTAGGAAGAAACTCACCACCCATCAGATGACTAGAAATCACTGCAGGATCACAAGAAATATGGTGAAGCAAGACAACACCTCTCCTCCAAGGGAAAAGAATAACACTTCTTCATCCACAGACAGTACAATGAAACTTATGGAAATGTCTGATAAGGATTTTAGAATATTCATAGTGACAAAGCTAACAGAGATGGAAGAAAAGAGACAATGAACTGCAGAAGAGAGAGGAGAAAGGGAGCTTACAAGTTCCAGGAGGTGAGGAAATTCTTGCAATATCTAAAAGAGGAAATACATACTATAAAAAGGAATCAAACGGACCTGTAAGAGATGAAGGCTATAATACAGGAAGTAAAAATCTCCTTTGAAAGTATTAAAAACAGACTAGATCATACAGAAAACAGAATCACAGATGTAGAAGATAGAATTGCTGGCCTAGAAAAATCCACTAGGAATACTGAGAAAATGGCCCCAAAAAAATGAGAATAGTATATGAGAAATACTATATGCCATTAAACATCCAAACATCCAGATAATTGGTATCTCAGAAGGCAAAGAGACTAGTAAGGACATTAATAATCTGTTCCATGAAATCCTGCAAGACAATTTTCCAAATCTGGAGAGGTACTCGAAGATCTAGTACCAAGAAATACAAAGGACCCCAAATAGAATCAACCCAAGGAGATCTTCTCCAAGACACATTATTGCCAGATAACCACAAAGACAAGATACTAAGACTGGCAAGTGAGAAACAGCAAGTTACCTACAAAGGATATCCCATCAGGCTAACAGCAGACCTCTCACTGGAAACAATGTGAGCAAGGAAAGAATAGGAAAATATATTCAAAGTGTTAAGAGAAAAGCAATTTCAAACAAGAGTACTATACCTGGCAAGATTATCCTTCATATGGGAAGACAAGAATATTCTCTCAGATAAACAAAACCTAAAAGAATTTACCAACATCAGACCAGATCTCCAAGAAGTTTTCAAGAGAGTGCCATACAGGGAAAAATGAAATAAAGGCACACGGAAATAAAGAGTTCAAAAACTAAGAAAATGGCCAACTTGGGATCAGCAGTTAGCATAACGGCTATGTCACTGGACTCCCAGGTAGTCAACCATGGTTCGAGTCCCAGACCCAGTGGCTTAAACTCACACCAGGCGTGTGTGCGTGTGTGCCCAAGATCCTGAGAAGAGAAAGAAGGGACTGTGGTGTGGCCATCCCCCCTGAGGGGTGATTTCTCACTTTCTGTCTGTCTGTCTGGCGAGCGCACGCACCCTCTAGCAAAAACCTCTCCAAAAAAAGAAAGAAAGAAAATGGCCAACTTAATTGTAGAGACATGTCTGGAGTTGAATATTATATCCCAGAATTTAATTGGGAAGATTGGACCACAACAGAAGTCAGATTAAGTACATGAGACTGAACTGGTGAAATAGAATTTTATGACTTTTGACTAAAATATTGATTTTCTTCTAGGCTCTGTTTTCTAGTTGTAAAGATTTTTGTCTTGTCTTGAGCCGCTGGTAGGTTCATGTACCTACTATCTGAACAGAACCCTAACCTATTTCCTGACTTTAAATTTTAAGTAAAGTTCCTTAGCATTTCTTTGATACATTATAGCTAAAACTACTTTTCTTAGAATTAAAAAAAAAGTTTCAGAAATAAATAAAATATATATTTAAAAATACCTATTTGATGACCACAGTAAGCTTTACAGCATCGGCTAGGTGCTACCTTATAGTATATTCATTCTACTCAGTTTCACACCTAAAGTCAAACATACCTTATAAACTTTAAAATATCATAAATGTGAATTCATGAACTTATAAAAATGTACATGATTTTTAAATAATTTGCAACCTTAAATTCAAAGCCAAAAAATCAGCGATCTGACTATCTTGAACATAGGAAGACTCACTGCCACCTAGTGTGTGTGGGAATGTGTGCATGTTTATTATCTAGCTTGACACATGCCCGAGGAAGGATCTGCAGATCATAATAACATCCATCTATTACTTTTGGAAAAACATTTACACCGACCATTACAGAAAATTACAACTTCCGTTCATTATCTGCCAAACCAAGTAATACCAAATAAAAAAGGACCACCACCTACAACTAGTGACTAAATGAATAAAGTCATAGTAATTTACCTGTCAAGTTTGGGATTATCTTGCCTTTCTCTTTGTTGTTCAAATCTCAGTTTTAATCCTTTAAATGTCTGTACATAATCTACATCTTCCAGTGCTTTCCAGTAGTTTTCAATGACATGAGCAGTTAATGATTTTATATCTTCCTACAGCAAAAAATGATAATGAAAAAAGACAGAAAAATGTCATTTTAGCAACAAGAGGCTTAACTGTAATAATTTCATAAAACTTACGAGTTTAATTTCATAAAATTATGATACTCTTAGAGATAAACAATAAAAATGAGAATAATAGGGGACAGCATGTGGCGTGATGGTGAAGGCACTGGACTCCCACATGGTCGACTGCGGTTTGAATTCTGGATGTGAAGGCTTGCTTTCTCTCTCTCTGGTTAAATTCTTTTAAAAAATGATCAAAATGAAAGCTTTATATTTCATCACATTAAAAAAAATTTATTCCTTTATTTTAATTTGGACACACACACACACACACACACACACACACACACAGGGGAGGGTGGGGCGGTGACAAAGCAAGCCACCAGGTCCAGGACTTGAACCATGGTTGGCGTGTCCAGTGGGAGTGTCCAGTGCCCTAGCCACCACACCCCCTGCTGGTCCTCTTTTTTAATTTTAATTTTATTTTAAAAAATTGAGTCATTTATTTTAATTTGTTCATCACAATTTTTTAAAAAGCACACTACAAATAATTTTGCATCATTATTTGGGAATAGCTGGTTTTCCATGTTATTAAAGAATCAAGAAGAATTCATTATCGAATTCTACTTTAGAAATGTGAACCTTAAGAAAAACTTACATTCTGGTTGGTGTCAGCTATAGTTCTTTTAAACCATGATGGTGTTAAATTAGTTTTCAAACTATCCTTAAAAAGATTCATAGATGCTGAAAGATTTCTTTTCATTAGTTTTAACAGAATTTCTCATGAGCTTTTAGAACACTGATTTTTATTTTAAAATTTCCTATAAATGCAATAACCTTAACTAGGTCAAAATATCAATAATGCATATTATTTCCTCACACACTAAAACCCAAATTCTCATTTAAAAACAAAGAACCTACCACTCTAATAAATTCAAACATCTCTATTATGGCAGAGTTCATCAGATTGTAGCGAGATCCATTGTTGAGAAATGCTTTGACTACTGGTTCAAACAAAAAACTTTTCATTATGTAGCGGTTGTAAAACTCATCTTTTAATCCAATAATCTTTCTCTTAAAACGAAGGGCAC